GATGTGGTAGTTGTGGACAGGGTTGTGCTGGATGTGCTGCTGCTGGTCGAGGTGGTGCTGCTAGTTGTGATACTGCTTGAGGTGGTACTCGTTCTGGATCTTGTAGTTGTGGAATACGTGGTGCCGGATGATGAGCTGCTAGTAGAAGTGGTGCTGGTGGCGGTGGCTGAGCTAGAGCTTGTGGTCAAGGTTGTCAATGTTGAAGTTGTTGTGGAGGTGTAAGTCACAGTGGTGGAGGTTGTCCTGGTTGTAGAGGTGGTTGTGACCAGGAATCTCCATGTATCATGCAAACAAATGCCTGCAGAATAGCCAGAAAAGCCACCATGAATCCAAAGTGACGCACTGGTGACATCCCAGGCAGCAGCGTGGTAATAGCGAGCTACAGGCCCGTCTTGAATTTGGTTAGCGATCAAGTCCAACTGTGGCTTAGGATGTTGAACCTCCAAAGTTCCCGTTGCGCCAGACCATTCAAGCCACCCAAGCCACCATGAAGCCAAATTGCTTGATTCGTGTGGTCCCAGGCTGCAACATGATAAGCTCGTAGTCCAGGACCACTTTGGGAGACTAAGCTCCAGGTTGAAGCTTTGGTGTCAAAGGCCCACAACTCATTGCTCAAGCCTGAGATCAATTCAACATGCTAACATCTCTGAACAAACGGCTTTCTCAGTGTTCACTTGGGATGTCTCATACTCAAATGAAGAAAGGACATTGTGTGCAATTTCTAAAGCAGGTAGGCTATGCTATAGTCGTGCAAGTTGAAAGCAGCAATGATTCCCCTGCCTTTATCCTGACGATGTTTTACAACCTTGATACTGCATTGAATTGTTCGGGAATGATGGAACAAACCTTTGTCTTTCCTTTGTTGTTCAGACTTTCTGTGTGCAAGGCTGCCTTGCTCATCTCTTCCTCTTTCACTCTCTTTCTATCTCTCTCTCCGTCTCTTTCTCTTTCTCTCTCTCTATGTCTCTCTCTCTCTTTCTCTCTCGTTTTATCTCTTTCTCTCCCTCTCTCTCTGCCTGTCTGTGTCTCTCTCTCTCTCTCTGTCTCTGTCTCTCTCTCTCTCTGTATCTTTCTCTTTCTCTTTCTCTTTATCTTTCTCTCTCTCTCTCTCTCTGCTCATTTCATCTCTCATCTTGTCAAATTTGCTCTCAAAAAGCAAATGCACTGGGCTGGTGGCATTCCATCACTGATGCATCATGCAGCGGATACCGGATACCCTTTCCTGAACCAACGTGTGAACTGCCCAAACTGGCTTCGAACATGATGTTCCTCTGCGGGAGGACGGTCTGACAGTTTCTATACTAGTCTTTAGGAGGGCAACAGCTACTGCAATGTCCAAATCTAAAGAATTGATTGTTTGCTTTCAAAGCAAAGGGCCCTGACTGTCATATCCACCATGAACCCACATGGCCGAATTGATCTCGTCCCACGCAGCCGCATGATGAGCTCTCGCTGAAGGTAATCTGTTGTCAATTGGATGTATTTGAACCCAAGACGAACTCGACAGGCTTCGGTAGGAAAACTTCCAAAGGTCATCCTGAAGATCGCCACCCAACCCACCGTGAAGCCACATGGCAGATTGGGCTGTATCCCACACAGCCACATGGCTGCTCCTGGCCGTTGGAGCTTCTCCAGGTCCACCGGCAAAGTGGATCCAGCGATTGTCCGAATATCTCCAAACGTCGTTGAATAAAGTCACACCGTCAAAACCACCATGAATCCACAACGCCAGCTCCCTTGGATCCCAAACAGCCACGTGCTCTCCACGTTTCAAAGCAGCCGAATTGAGTTGTGGTGCCAAATCCCAGGTGCCCGTTTCAGCATCGTAGGCCCACAGATCGGGCCTGAATTCTGTATCACTTCCACCATGAATCAGGAATTGCTGACCTCCGGCATCCCATGCAGCCACATGCCCAGAGCGTTCGGGTCCAGTATCATTGACAAGAACCCAAAAGGCAAGCACTGATGTGAGTCCATTGAGGAAACACAGCCTTTGCAGCGGAGATGCCATGAAGCTGCTCTTCAGAATGCGGCATCATGAGGTTTTTTGAGCAGTGAAACAACCTTCCCAGAAAGACATGCGTGTGACCAGCAGTGATCTGTACACACTTGTGTTGTAGAGTCTACAGTCTACTACTCATGTCTACTCCATGATCAACAATTAAAAACCATTCATTTGAGGCACCAAAACTGCTTTAGCTGCTGTGTCGCTGGCAAACCAATGCTCTAGGCTTCACATTGCCTCTGCCGAGCTGACCATCTCAACCCCACTGAGAGCTGTGCACAAATACCGGATACTTCTTTATCTTGAATCATCTTCGTCGATGTCTCGCCCAAGGGAAGCAGCCTTGTGGACTCCAAGGGACTGATCCATGTTGAAGAGGACGTCAGTGCAAGGGATCTCGTTAAGCTAGATTCACCCTCCTCAAAGTATATAATTGGGTTGGTCGACTGCGGTAACCACATCTCAAGCCTAAACAGTGACCAATATGGTGATGCAAAAACAATTCGTTAGTGACCCTGATACTGCCTTGCAGTTGTGAGAAAACCCAAGTTACAACTATATATATATATATACAACAAACTCTTCTTCTGGTTTTGAGAGATGTGCGAAGCTCCTGTCTCTGAATAGCTGATCTCAAGCAAAACTTTGTGCTGGATCAGTGGTCACAGGCACAACAATCCTTAAGATTGCAGGCCAAAGTGTGACCTGATTTACGACATCGCTAGCCGTTTGAATGAGCTAGTATATAAGGTCCCGTCTTCCGGTTGATGCGAAACATGATGTGGATGAGTTCTGAAGTGTGGTTCATCCCCAGGTGGTCCCGACATCTTTAAGTGGATACCAGTCTGAGAGCCTCCAGCAGCATGATGTAACTCGCCAGCAGTCGCAAGGCAACGATGTCGATGTGGGTGCAACCCCGGGATTGGGGTCAAGCTTGTCTGCTGAGAACAAATGTGTGGATCAGGAGGCGGAGGGGCAGGTACCTCCTTTCGTATTTTGTGGGAATTTACCTTGTCTTGCAATTCGTCCAGCTTGGCAATGAACAGATCAAATGTTGTGCTAGAGTACATCAAAGGAACTGGCAGCAGCAAGAGTGCTGCATGCGAAAGCCATCCGTTTGTAACCGCAAGTGCAGGCAGAGCAGCGCACCTATTTCCTTGTGCAAAAAGGGCCTCCGGTCATTGACATGGTCTCACATCAAGTCCGGTTCACTTGGTCCATTTCTATCCTCAAAAGATGAGTGCTTCTGTAACACTCCCCCTTCGTGGCCTTTTGCCACGAACTCAAGCTCAAGGCCCGCTAAGGCATTTTGCCTTCTTCTCTCAGTCGACTTTCGCTGATCCTGTCATCATCCGGCCAGCCGTAGTCGTATGGCGACTCCGCACTCCCACTCAATGATGGAGCCTGATTTGCCTCCATCAGCATTCCATAGGCACTCATTGCCTCCTGCTGCAAGCCCGGAGGCGGCCGCGGGCTTGATGCCATCGCCTTCACCTCCACCTTGTCGATGTTGGCCTTGGCACGCCGACGCCGCACTCCCCAAGCTTCCATCTGCTTGCACCCTTGTAGAGTCCGGGGTCGACCAATCCGTCGTGACCGTGGGGAGTGTTGACGAGATCGTGCCACTTCCACTTGATCCCCCTTCTGGCATTGTCAGTTGCAGTTGAGGAACTTCAGCATCTGGTTGTTGTTCCATCATGATGGCCTGCCTCATCAGGTCGTTCTGATGGAACATGCGATTTCCGACCTGCACCCTGGGTTCAGATCCTGGTGGTCTCTCCCAGTCTTGCTCTGAGTCTGTCAGTGCCTGCAGCGCCAACCTCAGTCCCTCTGGAAGTCCCGCCCATCGCTCCATGGGCGGCATAGGAGGAGGGGGTTTTCCAACCCTCCCTGCTGTCCTTGCCTTCGCACCGGGCAACAACGCTGTCGATGCGCTTGCCGTTGAGTTGATCGGTGGCCTTTCTCCCACCGGCATTGGTCCATCCGTGCTTGCCGATGACCTTGCAGTCCTTTCTGTTGTCATCCCAGCGCCCACAGGATCATGTACTCGCTGATGGCGCAAGTTGGCTGCTTCTTCAACTCTCATGTCCTCCGGGATCCGAAGATGTGGAGGCAGTGTATGCTCTTGTCGAGCCCACTCTCCAACAGGTCTCGTGCCCACATAGTATAGCTTGCCGCCTTTGCTCCATGCACCGGGCTGTGTAGTTCAAAGAACGTGTAACCATTCCATCTACCCTCAATCTTGTTGTTCATCCGACTTTCCCTCGTTGGCAGCTCAATCCATGAGTCTTCCGAAGGTCAGCCTGGTTGCTCCCCACCAATGTACTTGATGGTCACCCTTCTGCCCGTCAAGATCTGCTCATTTCGCAGTGGGTATGAGCTGTGAATCGGATGGCATCTCTGGTACCTCATCTTGCAGTGGACCCTCACCACAAAGTTTTCCACCACCTGCCAGCGGTCCGTGGTGCCCGTCGGAGGCACATGAAACGGAGGATGCCACCAAGGCTCATGCGGTCTTGCTCTCGGCGGGCCACCATCATCCGCTTGCATCATCTTGACCATTGCTCGCGGGCGCACGGTGGTTTTTTGGTCACCACCCTGACCTCTCTGGGAGCCCTCCGGGCTACCGTTGGGAGGATGGGATCCCCTGGCGGGTTCATTTTGGGCCCTCGCCACTTTTCTTCTGGTCTGTTCCGATCTTTTCTTTTCTTGTGCATCTTCCACCATGGGTTCATTCCGCGCCCTCATGATGGTCTCACCTGCCTTGGGAGCAGGTCCCCCCCAGGGATGGTTCATCTTCCCTATCCCATTTTTTTGGATCTTTCTCAACCATGTGACACCTACAAGCATGAGTACAAGGGCCACCAAATCTACCACTTGCGACTCAGCACCACTTGCAAAGAGCGCCGCTGCACATAACACTGCCAACGCGCCTCTCATGATGGTCCAGTCATCCTCGTCTTGGTGTCCTTGTTGCTTCACCGCCATCGTTTTCACCTGAGCAGGGGTTTGGCTTTTGTTCTCCTTCATCGCAATCTGGTTCACGAATGAGTCAAAGGCCGGTCCCATCAGCTGCTTCGTGAGACCATCTGCAGGCAGTTCTGTCCCCTTCACATGATGCGTGTGCCACCCGCTCACTTCGCACCCCCACAGCTGCCCTCAGCCCCGCTGCGCGAAGTCGAAGATGACGAGTTCTCCAAGCACCAACATCACCCTGGCATAGCGCCAGTGCACTTTTGTTGTCACCATACAGCGACCTCCTCACATTCTCCATGCCCAGGGCCTCAAGAAGAGTCGCAACCCCTTCAGCCTGCTGGAACACCTCCGTGTAGGCCACCAACTCTGCTTCTGCTGTTGAGCCCGTAATGAATGGCTGTCGTGCAGAGCTCCATAAAATGGGACATCCCGCCACCATCACAATGGTTCCATGAACCGACTTGTACGCTTCAGCCGCTGGTGCAAATGATGCATCTGCATACGCCTCTACATCAGCCTCACCTCTCGGGAACTTGAGTTCTTCATGTTCACCAAGTAGATGCTCACTCACTCTTCTGAAGTTGATGCCCCAGTCTGCCGTGTCCTTCAGGTACGTCAGAATCGCCCTCGCGTGCTCACAAACCTTTTTCGGGCGGCGATGCATTGCTCTGCTGAGAACCCCCGCGGCATGGCAAACATCTGGCCTGCTTCGATTCTGCACTTAACCCACTGGAGCTCCCCCACGAGTGCTTGGGCCTCCCTCAGTGTTGCAATATCGAACTGCTCATCCTGTGCCTGTTGGAGAACTGTTCCTCTCCATTTCGACGGACCTGCCAATCCCTTCTTGTCGCAGAGGTCCAGGATGTAGTCTCCTTGATGCAACTTGTAGCCATCGCTCATTCGAAGCACCTGGAAGCCACAGAACTTCAGTTCCTGCCCCGCCTTCTCAAGTATCTGGCTACCCGAACACTCCCAGATGGTTTCCACTTCATGGAGCACAGACCTGACCTCCTCAGTCGGTCCTACCACAATGAGGTCATCCACGTAGGTTTTCAGGTAGGCCTTCACCTTGCCATCCAGGTCCACAATCTTCCATGCCAACGGTTCCATTCGTCGAGCCTTTTCTCAGGCACTGATTGCGGCAAGTCCAATCCTCTGGTGACTCTCTCAAGCCATACAAGGCACCCTCTGCCGCCCACATCGTTCCAGGCGGTACAATCCCCAACTGGACTACCAATTGAGGTGGTTTCACAAGGGTCACCCGATGCGCTGCACTTCGCTTGGGCGCCTGCGGGAACGCACTCTTGATGTCAGTGGACCCACATGCCCAGCCCCTCTGACTTGCGACCATCATCATGACCCTCAGCGCAACAGCATCGATGCCTCCCGTTGAAGTCGTCACCGTCTTGTCAGGTGTGCCAAAGTTCCCACACCCCACAATCCTTGCCTTCCTTCTCCCGCATGGTGCTTTGCGACTGCACAGTAGTTTGCCCGGGATGATCTCAATGTAGACGCCAGAGTCCACCAGCGTCTTCACCTCCCCAGGTGTCTTCCTCACCAGCGTGCCAGTGTTCTCCAACACCATCACTTCGTTCTCCACCGGGGGAATCCACAAGTCTCTCTCCTCTAAAATCTGCTTTGTTCCCACCAAGTAGGTCTGCAGCACTTCCGCCTCCTGAGGAGTTGCCTCCTTCTCCCCCGTTCCCACGGCCTTCATGATGTGAACGAGTTCTTGGTGATCATCCTGTATTTTACGATCAAGCCACATTGCATCTCTTCTCAGCTGCCTGATGCAAGCATCTGTCTGCCCTTCAGGAGATATGCTCATGGCCACTTCGTCCACGATTACCTGTTGGAGTCCTTGGCGGGGTTCATTCATCACCTGTACCTCCTTCGTGATGCTCTTGATGCCCTCCAGGACTATATTCTCCACTTTATCCTTCTTTGTTGATGTTTCACACACTCTACACTCCATCTCAACCGCGACCTTTCTGAGTCCGCACCCTTGACATTCTTCCAGTTCTTGGTGCTTCAGCAGGTCCACAGATTTTTTCAATGCCTTCACGGCTGCATAGACTTCCTCCCCCCCCAGGTCGTCGGCCTTGTTGGTGTAGTCGATGAGCTGGTTGTTTGCCTTGCAGTCGATATCTTCGATTTACCGCATCTTGTTCATCAACCTCCGTCATCAACAGCCCATGGACCTGTGCCTCGAAGTCATCAGCTTGAGCATCACCCTCACCGTCGCCCGGATCTCCATCACGATCTGGTGAAGGAGGTTGTGCCTTGCCATCAAACACCGCCCAAAACTCAGCCGCTTCCTTGAGCTGGTTAGCAATGGAGTGCGGATTCTCCTGGTGTAGCAATTC